TATTTTGTTCAGCAAGCCAACTTTAATGTGTCATCATCCACTAGCAGATAATACCAGTAGTAATGTTCATATGAAGCCAGAAAAAATAATTTCATTGCTCTGTGACCCCAGCCCACATCCACCACTGAGGTCTTATCAGATTTAAATAGGTACTGAATAATTTTAGATATCTGATTAATCCAATTAAACAGTAGCAAAGATTGCTTCAGAGGAACAAAACCCCTGCATAATTATTAACACCAACATAGGTGCACCCTCTGCCTTCTGTGTGACAGTGATGAAAATGCCCTCCTTGTTAAGAGCGCCAGCTTTGGTACATACAAGCAACTGAAAAACTTGTGACCTCTTAAATCTCTTTGTCGATGCATGTTCTGGACACTGTCTCCAGTTTTGTCAGTCTCCTGACTGCTAAGTTTATACATAATTAATTTCTAAATGGTCTAAGATTGTGCTTAGTGCTAGAAGAAGCCCTCCTAATTTTGAAGCCTTTTTTTGTTCTGTTACAAAAATACAGGAGTTCTTAGTAGGGAGCCTTCCTGCAGAGACACATCAGATGTGGCTGGAAAAAGCAAAAAACACAATGAAAGCAAAGGAAGAAAGTATCAAACTTACAAAAAAACATAGCAGTATTTTTTCTCCCTTTGAAGAGTGTTTAGTTTATGTTTGCCTCTGAGAAAGCAATCTACGTTTCTTTAACTTAGGGAGAAAAAAACACCAACAAACAACACCTTACAAACCACAACTCCTTCTTAAAGCCAGTGCTGTTAAAAGCTCTTTGGGGGTTTGATCATGAGCCTTCCTGGTGTTTGCAGCATTTTACATACAACACTTCAATGTCCTCCATGTCCCAGCTTCTCATAAATTAAGTAAGATATCTTCATATGTTCTGTACTTTCATTAAAATAAACTCCTTGGCCACTAGTTGACTCAGACAGAAAACAAGAGATGGCTGATATACTGACCCTCCTTTGGTATGGAGTTTACTAAGGACTAGCAGAATAAGCCATTAGAGAAGATCCTACTAGCTCAGAGGTAATATAACAGTAACACGCATTGGAGGTAAGAATTCTAAACACTAATACAAAATAGAAGCTGAAAATAGTCACAGACCTTGAAGGTTAGTTGTTGGTCAGGACTAGATTAAGGATGACTCAAAGTCAAACTGCAGTATACATTCAAATAATGAGAGAGGAGAGGGGAGAGAGGGGAGAGAGGGGAGAGAGTGAAAGTGCAATCCTCACGACTTAGAGCTGGGACTCAAGCCCTCTGCTTTCACTTTCTGCTGTTCAGCAGTCTGTGGTGCAGCAAGAGGGGCTGAGTGACAGAAGAGCCTTCGTCAGCGTGTTGCTTGGCAAACCCTTCGGGGACCACCAGGTGCTTGGATGGATTAAATCACACAGTTGCTCTTGCAACTGGTTCTCCCTGGGGGAAAAGCATCACCAACTGGGAGGGAAACAAGGAAGGATACAACAACAGAATAAAAAAACCTGAGCTAGCAATAAGTGACCATGCTTAATTAGGGACTAAAAAGCATGGCAGAAGCAAGGTGGCTTTCACAGAAGAAAACATGTTGATGGAAGGCACAAAACCATTGGCACAGATGAGCTCCAGAGTGACACCACAAGGATATGAGGATTACAAAAACTACTTGAACTTCCAATGAACTCTGCTCTTCAGCCAGGCAGATTAGCCCTTAAGAGAGAAGCCTTTTAAAGAGTAGGGCAGCAGCTTCATTTGACAGAAACCAGTTTTTAAAAAATCTTTTTTCGGGATATTTTTACTAAAATAGTCTGATCATTTTTATAGTTCAAGGCAAGATACACATTTCTTTAAAAAGTTTATCTCACTAATTCTGAATACACTAAAACAAAATTGTCCTTATGTTACAAGTCAAGAAAAGGGTTTTCTTTTAGATCCTTAAGGTCAACCTGTGCTTCTAGCAAAAATGTACCTTCTCTCTGTCTTTTGAAGCAGAAATGTTCAATTTCTGGACTCCAAAGGATGAAGCTTCCCTCCGTATTTCAAGGAAAGAGATTACATTGTAGAGCCAGCATCAGAAATCATTTACCAGCTGCAGTTATAAACTAAAAATTAGTAAAGGAAAGGGGCAATTTGGCTAGTTTCTGTATTGTCTTAATCATGCTCTCAAATTCTAAGGGCAGGCTAAAAGTGGTCTTCCTGCAGGTTTAAGATAAAACAAACCTATTTCTAATATTCTGTGCAAAGTTGTTAGATACACCCACTGATGGAAATGCCATCTTCTTGCATCCCAGAGTTAGCCCACCCACTGACTCCGGAAACCCGGGCAGGTAAAAAGCTTCAACGAGGGGAAAAAGACCTGCCAAGGTGATGGGCTAGCATCTTCTGGTACACATCTACCCTTTCACCACAGGGGACTGGATCCAAGGGAACTGTCACACCACCAGCACAGGGATTATTTGGAAGAGAAAAGGCTGCCGGGGCAGGTGGGGGGACACCCTCTGCGCTGCCACTACTGAAACTGTTCTGTTGCTCTGTCCTGCTGCTGGGGCAGGGTGTAACAGGCAGCCTCACACTGCACAGCATCTTGGCACTCCGGTGCTCAGGGAGGGATCTTTTCCCTTCCCCACTTCCCTGGGCTGTTTTGGATATAACATGGACAAAATTGGGTAAAATACAGGCATTGGCCTGGGAGCTGGAATCAGCACCAGGCGCTTGCACCTCTTTTATCTGGGTATAAATAGGCTTTTTGCCCAGATCCAGAAGGTTTAACATTCTGTGCTAGCCTCCAAACTTGAGCAGTAACTAGAAAATGCAAAAATCTAAATTCTAGTTGGGATAATTCATTTCTGCATTACCAGAAGCAGTTTCCTTTATTTTTATTTGGAAAAATGGTTGTATTTTGGGCAAGTTTATCTGACAAGTAGTGCTACAACTATGGTTAACTCCTGGAAACATACAATCGCTCTAGCAAAGAAACAACAACATAGTCACTCTCAATGTCAATATATTAGTAGGCTGAACCTGGTTCTGAGCATGGTACTTCTGGTTTTCCAGCTTCCCTAAGCCACAGACAAAAAACTCTTTTCTGAGAACAACTGTAAAAGGATCTTACACCAAGATTTCATATCAACAGCAAAGAAAACACTGAGGTATATATCAGTCTTCAGTGACAAGCAGTTGAAAAAGATAACCCAAGATTACAATATAACCAACTAATATCATAGACTACACACACAAAACATTTCTTGCAGGCAAAACCAAACAGCATCAGAGGCAACCACGAAGGGATTCAATCACGTGCCTCCTGCATCCTTCCACCCAAGGGGAAGTAAGACAATCCCCAAACCAGTCTTAGGGACTTGACTTCCAAAGAAGCTCAATTCTAAGTGCATAATAGTCACAAATCCCAGCAACTGCTTAAATGACTTCCCCTGAATACCATGCTGCCTAGTGCAGATCCTACTTTTGCCCCACACCTCACATAGGGGCCTTCAGTTCCCTGCTAGGCAAGATGGGGGGAGGCCCTCAGTCAGGACTATGAAGAGGGACTGCTACTGAATCTGCACCCACCATTCCATTTAAGTCTGCTAAGTTAATGGCACAGGTATTTTTAAAGGGTAAATTAATTCAAATGTTGTTCATTTTGTAAGCTAAAACTTGAAAGAATTATGGTATTGCTTTTACTAGCTTTGATCACTTGTCTTGGGCATCAGATCACTTTTGATTTCCAAGCTGAAAGCTTACAAAATTTTCTAAATATATTCTATATGATATAAATGTTTCAACAGAAACAGAGCTTAAAATATTCTTTTACAATGTTTACAGACTGCACTAAAATGTTTTGTCAAAGCACTTCAAGAATATTTAAGTTCCAGTTAATAAGTAAATAAAAAAATACATCAATGGCACTTTTTTCTTCTCTGGTTTATAATGAATTCTCTCATGTCTACACCGGGAAATGTTTATTTTTAACATTATTCAAAAATAATTATTCTTCTTATAATAATCTTATACCCAGCTCCTAATTTTATAACTAAAATCTCTTCATTAACACCACATTTAAAAAGTAAGTTCAAGTATGGAATTAGGTATAAAGTTTTAATAGCTTGTAGGTAGAATTAAGTGGAAAGTTTTAATAGCTTGAAGATATGTATACTTGATATTCTTAGCTGCAGAGAGGGATAGCAACAGTTATAATACTAAAGAAAAATAAGCATAAATCTAGCTGTAGGTAGAGGCATATAAAAGAGTTCATTCAAGTTGATTATTCCTATGAGCCTTGCTTTTATTCTAAAATTTTGTTTTCTATACAGACTATTCTGCTTTTTAAAAAATATGGGTTAGCTGTTAGACATTCTAATCATTCAAACAGAAATGTTAAAGTTTAAATAGTTGTAAACCTTTTAGGGTGATAAATGAAAGATAATAACCCCTTGATCAATGTAACTTTTTATTTATTCATCTGGGAACATGGCAAGGATATCATAGGCAATAATGCTGCCTAGGAGAACACGGATGTCACATAAACTGTTTTGGCAGAAACACGCATTTAAATAATCATCCAAATAACCACCTCACTATTTCTATCTTTAAAGCAAAACAAAAAACAACCAACCAACAATGACAACAAAAACCCAACCAACCAAAAACCAACAGAGAAAAAGAAACCTAAGAACTAAACAAACAGCCTGGAATAGTTTCTATTTAACATCTATGCCAGCCACATGTCTCCCTGATTTTCAGAGTTGTGATACTTAGCACTGACGATGGCACCTTTCATTTGCAAACACATTACAAATATGAACTGACTGTAATTATAACACAATGCCTCACCACAGCTAATCAATGCAACTGCCTGCTCTTCTCTCAGCCTGGGGGAGTGGCTGAATAAGTTTGTGCTGCCAGCTCCCTGTGTGACACTGTCAGCATCCTGCAAAGTGCTACACCTAGAAGTTAGTTTAACACGAAGTGACTGACCAAAGTACACATAAAATCAAGCAGGTTTTTCCTCCAGTGCTAGTAGTTTGTTGTATAATCCAAGAAGAACCGACCAGGGCAGGATGCAATTTAATGTAAACCGTTTGTAGTGAAAGGAGTTATTTTGCCTAATGAAATCTCCCCCTCACAGTCAAGCTCACAGACAGAGTCGGTGACAATCTCATGGTCAGGGGAGATCTGGGACATCCTATCAAAAGGGTCCCCACGATTTTCCTCACAGTCAACCACATTTGGGATCATGTTAACATAAGCAGTCACTATCTCCTTATGGAACAGGGTGTCCTGGTTGTAAGAGATAAGCTCGTTACTTATATTAACAGTCTCCACTGCAGTACTAGAGCAAAACTGACCACATCCCAGGAGGTTGGAGAAGACCTTTCTAAAGTCAGCATTGAAGGCATAGATGATGGGGTTGAGAGAAGAGTTGGCCCAGCCAAACCAGACAAAGACATTAAAGGTGGTCTCACTGACACAGGGAAGGCCAGCATGGGGGTCGCTGGGTGGGCTCTCACAGAAGGGAACCATGCAGTTCAAGATGAAGAATGGCAACCAGCAGCAGACAAAGACACCCATGATGACGGACAGAGTCTTCAACACCTTGGTCTCCTTCCTGATGGAGGACCTGAGGCTGGTGTGGTGGTGGCAGTCCAGACGGCTGCTCCGGCAGCTCTGCGCGTGCTCGGCTGCCCTCTCCAGGGACGAGATCCGGCGGATCTGCACCTGGGCAATGCGGTAGATTCGAGTGTAGGTCACGATCATGATAGCCACTGGGATGTAAAAACTGATCAAGGAGGAGGAAATGGCGTAGGTCCTGTTGAGGCTGGAATCACAGCTCTCTGATGGTCCAGTAAGGGTATCATTGCTGCCAGACGTCCCATCAGAGGGTATCATTGCTGCCAATGCCACCCACGTGGTGCCCATGCCTTCTGTCCAGGTGGTGACAGCACCTGCTGCTGCCCAGCCAGTGCCAAACCCATCCCCGATATCATCAGCAGCAACAACATTCCCGCCTTTGTGCCAGTTGAGCTGGACAGGGATGAAAGAGATAAGCACGGACAAAGCCCACGCCATGCTGATCATCACCAGAGCCAGTCGCTGGGTCATCTTCCTCTCGTAGCGGAAAGGGCTGGAAATAGCCCAGTACCTGTCCACGCTAATCACACACAGGTTCAGGATGGAGGCTGTGGAGCACATGATATCAAAGGCCACCCAGATGTCGCAAAAAGCCCCAAAGGGCCAGTCCCCAGCCACCTCAGCCACTGCCTTCCAGGGCATGACTAGCACAGCCACCAGCAGGTCCGAGACAGCCAGGGACACGATGAAGATGTTGGTGACCTTGCTCCGCAGGTGCCGGTAGCGGACGATGGCCGCGCACACCAGCACGTTCCCAAAGAGTGTCCAGAGGATGAGCAGAGCCAGCAGGCTGCCCGCCGCCACCTGCGCTGC